TCATGAAAATTCTCATTGCGTGTGTTTGCATGTGAGTGTATATCTGTGTGTGTGCGTGTGGTATGTAATTGATGCTTAGATGATGCTTACTATGGCCTCTTTTAAGAATTTTGTATATATTAATTATCATGAAAACCCAATGTAGTAGGTACTATTTTATCTCCGTTTTTTACAGATGAGGAAACTAAGGCAGAGAATATTAACAACTTTGGAAAAATCACTAAGATTTGTGTCTGGAGTGGAGATTGAACCCAGATAGCTGCAACCACTACTAGCTGATCTCAGTCAAGGTTTTATGAGGAATTCTGTTTGACGTAGAGCAAATGGCACAGGTGTGAAATAAGCTAAAGGTTAACCAATAGGCTTAATGCTCCCAGGTGGTATTTGCATTTTCAAAGAAAAGCCTTAATCCAATAGAGAAACTTTTTGAAAGTAAGGACCTAAGGTAAGGGCTAAAAGGAAAGTACACTCGTAGTTTGGTCCCTTACTGGAAGCACACACCTGGAGTGCAGAACATTTAAACTCTTGGTTTTAATTTTGGGTTTAAAGATTAATGTATATTTTTTTAATATAATAAAGTAATGTGTAATAATGTATGAAAGTAATGTAAAATAATGTACATTGTATTTCTTGGATCACAAGTCAGATTTTTATGAAATCCCCAATCTGTTCTTTTTTTTTTTTTTTAAAAAAAAAAAGATGACCGGTAAGGGGATCTCAACCCTTGGCTTGGTGTTGTCAGCACCACGCTCAGCCAGTGAGCAAACCGGCCATCCCTATATGGGATCCGAACCCGTGGCCTTGGTGTTAAATCAGCACCGCACTCTACCGAGTGAGCCACGGGCCGGCCCCCAATCTGTTCTTTTATACCCAGTTTTTTTCATCCAGTTCTCAAATCTCCCTGTTTCAGCCAGACTGAACTTCTTGTCAGTCAAATGTAGGATGTTTTTGATTTTAGGCTCCGTGATCTTGCCCTCTTATCGGCCTGGATGGTGGAATCTTACTTTCTTGGCCTCCTTTGTCCCGTTACTCAGACTTTTATTTTGCCCTTTAAGAAACAACTTGAGTATCATCTTTGTAAAACTTTCCCTGACCCATCCTAGATGCCCTCATACAGTCACCCTTTCTTCATTGCTTTTCTTTAAGAACATTTACAAGTTTTATTTCAATTGGCTATCTGATTTATCTACCCTGCTAGACTCTTGAATTCTTCATGGAGAGAATCCTTTGTTTAGATTTTTTTGGTTTTTTCCTTCATTGCCGATCATCCATGGGTGCTCAGTAAATGTTGAAAGGTGGTGCATCTTTGTAAAACTTTATCCCAGTTCCAAAGGCTAAGGAAAATGGATCAGTTTCCTGCCTGCAGCTAACCGTATATGGGATCAGGGAAAGATTGCAAGTTTGAAAGGGAGCTGGAGGTTTGGGAGAGAAGGCAGAAGGAGATGAGAAATGCCTTAAGTCTGTTTCAGAGGTCTAACCCTGCTGCGTCCAGTGTGGTAGCCACTAGCCACATGTGACTATTTAAATTTAAGGTAACTAAAATTAAAATAAAAATTCAGTTCGTCAGTTGTACTAGTCACATTTGAAGTGCTCAGTGGATTCTTGTGGCTGGTGGCTAGTGGGCAGCTCTAAAAAGAACATTGTCATGATTGCAACTTTTAATCATTACTTCTAATAAATATCCTTTGTAGCCCTTTCTTAATTACCACGTTTTTAAAGTAGAATGCAAAATTAACATTTAAGATAACACACAGGACTTCACGTCATGATTGCAACTTTTAATCATTACTTCTAATAAATATCCTTTGTAGCCCTTTCTTAATTTCCACGTTTTTAAAGTAGAATGCAAAATTAACATTTAAGATAACACACAGGACTTCACGGGAATTTTTCACTTGTGTGGTGATTTCCCTTAAATCCCTGGATATATCCACTTAACTTCTGCTGTTAAAGATCACTTAGTGGAAAATTAGAAAAATCTTATGTTGGTAGACTATAGTAAAATTAGAAAAATCTCACGTTAGTAGTATATAGTAAAATTCAGTTCTACTTTCTGATTTGCATAGTGATAATCTTTGGTATCCTAGAATTAAACCCTGTTTTTTAGTATGCTGGGGGACCTCATTGAATTGGCATTTAAAATTTATTTACATAAAATATCATTTCCATTGGCGATGAATGCCTGACTGAAAACCTCTGAGCTACAGCTTCTTTACAAAATAATAGAATAAAAACTATGACTTTGGGGAATTCTTCTGGAGTTTTTTGTTTTGTTTGTTTTTTTTATTGGTGGGTAAGGGGGTAAGTGCAGGTTGTATAAAATGGTGTTATAAAACTTTTCATGGATTTATTTTGTGTCCATAATATGCATGCTGTGGTGATCAAGCTGGATAAGAAACACACCAAGGAAAAATAGCCAAGGTTTCAAAGTGGAGGATTCAGAGTGGCTTACACAGTCATAATGTGTTTTGGCTGCCTTTACAGTGCAGTTGAAAAACATTGAATATGCTGCGATTTGTGTGTGAGTACATCAGCACAAAACACTAGATGTCAGTGTTGTAGTTTTGACATTTTACGAGGAAATGGTACAGCTTTTTTTTTGCTTTTAATCACCCAGATATTTTTCATTGACACAAACTCGTGAGCCATCTTGCCTCTTTACATTTAGATAAATGCTTTCTAGAGGAAAAACTTGTTCCAAGAATTTTTTTTTTTTGATATTAGCATTTGTGTAGGGCTACTGATTCTGAGGAATAAAACATATATAATATTAATCTATTTTCCAGCTAACTATATTCTTCAAACTTTGTCTCTCAATGTGCTTTCCAGGGCCTAGGAGGTGCTTCTTGGGGAAAAATTGCGTGGCCCTGGAATCTGGTATATAGTAGACACTCAAATTTTTATTAAATTGATAATGCTACCAGCCTTTGTTTGGCAAAATTTAGATATCTTTTTTTTTTTTTAATATTGTGGGCAATAATACAGTTCTTATATATCACTTATATTTATATGTTAAAGCCTAGAGTCACATGTCTTCAGACTTCTTAAATTGACCCAGCATACAGGATACAAAAAAGCTTCAAACTGAATATATGGCAGATGAGTTTCTATTCTAAGAAATTCTTTCTGTTTATTAAGGAATATGCAGCTCCATTAGGGTGATAGAATTAAAAGTGATTTCTTGCTTTTAACATTTCCTTTTATATTTTTTCATGCCATTGACACACTTTATATTTTGTGATCATACTATTTAAAAATGTAAAATATTTTTCTTTTCTCTGTTTAACCCCAATTTTATGTAATGCCCCGTTAATTTTTTGAAGGTACTTTATTTTTACTTATATGGTTGAGGTTCATTTTTATATATGTATATTTTTATTTACTGTTAATTTTACACCTTTTTTGTTTCATGCATTCTCAGCACTTAAAAAATGAAGGTATTATGCAAAAGTAATACTCAACTTATGAGTCCTATAATTGCTAGCTAAAAGTTATGTCTTTTCAGTAATTGTTGATTCATGGCTTCAAGTCAGGAGATTAGAGGAGATCACTCCAAAGTTAATAGCCAACCATATTTCTCTCCCTTATATTTTGGTCATAGCAGTAAGCTGATATAAAAAAGCTGAGAGGATATTTAAAAGCAAAATGCGCACGTTTTGTTGAACTTTGAAAGAAGAAACTGAGGCTTGGAGTAGGAGAATATATCATTTTGAAGTAACAGTAAGAATCAGTGAGGAGACTTCTCAGAAGGTAGAAGCGGAGGTTATGGTTACTGTGCTTAGCTTTGGCAAGGGTGAATGGACTCAGAACAGACTCACTGAAATGAAGTACTTTTGGGCTGCGGATTGCTTTTCAATAAATGAAGATTCTGATTTGGATGGGAGGACATCAGTATTGAATTAAGTAGGGAGCAGCAGGAAACCTACTTTTGCCTAGGCTTTTTTCTTCTTTGAGAGTTGCTTTAAATAAATTTTATCTCAATCCAACTAAGTCAGTATTTAAAAGAGTACTTAAATTACTGATGTTATTTTAGTTGCTTTAAATAAATTTTATCTCAATCCAACTAAGTCAGTATTTAAAAGAGTACTTAAAAGAGTACTCAATCCAACTAAGTCAGTATTTAAAAGAGTACTTAAATTACTGATGTTATTTAGAGATATTTTGATAGGAAGGGTTTCAAGTAATGGCGTTTTCTGTATTAATCTTTGAGATTTACCTAGTTCTGGAGTCAACCAAAGAAAGCACATTTGTTACCCAAAGACATTATCGTGAAGTGGCAGGTATTTTTGTGTATCACTGAGTTTTCCTCTTCATTTTCTCTTCTTTCAGCCTTCTTTGTTAGCTCTTCTGCTTATTAAAAAAACACTCCAGGTTACTAAGTTGTTGGATGATTTTTCTCCTTTGAAGTATTTCTTTATAAGTTTCACAGGTTTCTAAAGAATAAGACAAGCTCTCCAGAGGGCTCTGGATCATGCAGATGGACCAGACTAGCTGCTTGTGATTTCATTGTTCAAGTACAGTTAACTTCAGAAGTTAAGAAAGACTGCAAAGCTTAAAGTACTTACAGCTTCTTAGCAAGTTGATTTCCAGCAAAGCCACCAACAGGAATGTTTTTTCTGCCAGTTCTCTGACCCTAGTTGATTGAATTGTATATGATGAACTAGTTTGCTGGTAATCTGCAAATGCTTTTTGTGGCAGTTCTGCATTATAAAATTCAGTAGTACACTTAACATTTGTTATGTTCAACTTAGAACTTGGTATTTTCATTCATTCACCCAGCAGCAATTGAATCTTTGATGTATTGGGCACATCATTAGATAATTTTTCCCCCCAAATGTTAAAACACTCAATTTTATAATGTTACATGCAAATTCTTTAAAGTGAGACTGGTTTTTAGTTTTTTTCTGCACACAAATTTAGTATTTTAAATATCTGGGCCAAATCCCTTACAGAAGTTATTCTGATAACACTGTACCGTTTTCTTAATAAAATAGTTTTAAATTCTTTAAAGTGAGACTGGTTTTTAGTTTTTTTCTGCACACAAATTTAGTATTTTAAATGTCTGGGCCAAATCCCTTACAGAAGTTATTCTGACAACACTGTACCGTTTTCTTAATAAAATAGTTTTTTTTTTTTTAAACATAGTTTTCATTAGTCTCCTCAAGTAGTTTTATGACACAGTTAAGGTCCATGTATTTGAATACACCCTTCACTGGTCCATTGTCAGCATCTGTCACTACCCTGACAACAGGGATGTGGCGGAGGCTTTTGGATTTTGTTTCTGTTGCTGGTGTCCTGGGTCTCAAAGCCACTGTGACCTCTCCTGTTGCTGTAGCTGGGCTGGTCTTTGGGGCAGATGACAGTAGATTAGATGGTCCTACTGTTCTCCACCATTACTGCAGCTGTGGGACTCAGAAAAGTCCCCTCTTACAAGAATAGAGACAGGCAGAGCTTCATGAAGGGTGCCAGGGGTCTGGCTGTGGCCTTGGCAACCTCTGCCTAGGGAATTAAAGTTTAATTTGTTTTTACTGTTAGGTTCTGTAGGAGGCAGTGGATCAGGAAAGACTCACTTTTCTTCTGATGATGAAGCAATAGAAGCTGACAATGAGGATGATATTGAACCCTGCGACCAAGAAAATGAAGATGCTGCAGAATCAAGTGTTGGGACTAATACAGGCTGGGCAGATGCCATGGCTAAGATCCTTAACAAAAAAACTCCTAAAAGTACACCCACCATTCTGGTCAAAAACAAAGAGCTGGAAAAGGAAAAAGAAAAGTTAAAGCAAGAAAGACTACAGAAAAGAAAACAGGTGTGTCCTACCAGTTTTCTTGTAGATTATATAGTTTGTCTAGTCTAGTTCTTATCTGTATCAAGTTGTTCCTTGCAGTGTTTGTTCAATTGACATCCAGGTTTTTAACATGCTTTTTTATGTGGATAGGTGGATAACCAAAGTTGTGTTCAGAAATTTAGTCTAGATTACTCCGCTGAGCACGTTTTCTATTTAATCATCTAAGCAAAGCAGTAGAAACACAGACTGCATGGAAATTTATCCTTTTAAATCAAGTAACTATACCTGTGGCAGTGACTCCTGGGTCAAAGAATTTTAATTATAGCTGTCCATATGCTGACTTTATTAGGTTCTGAACTAATAGAAGCATATTAGTTACTTCTTTGCTAGAAACATAATGTAAATCTGTGAAGATTTCACAAGTCAGGGGATGGTCCTGGTTCTGAAAACTGATTATTTTACTGTTAGATAAACTTGTATTCATTATGCTTTTGTTAAACCACTGATGGTAGAAGTTAGGCTAGTAAAATCTGTTAATAAAAGGCCAAAAGGTAGATATAAGTTTGCTGTGTATATTATAAAAATAAAGAAACTGTGGTAAGGTTTTATATCCCTTGTTCTTGATGAAGTGTCTCTATGTCTAAAATATTTGGTTACTAAAATATTTTCCAATGAAAGAAAGATAGTTTTGTACAGTTGTACTGGCAGTATAGAAGTACTAATTTCCAAGAGGTGCTTTTAAGTAAAAATGAAGGAAAAATAGGTTTGAGTTGGCATATATTTCCTTTTATGTTTACTATACCTTTATTTTAAGATGAATGTGTTCTTTGTTCTTAATACTGGTTGCTCTGTGTGAAAGGCTAGATAAAGGTGCAGCTTTTCACATGTTGCTCTTAGAACATGATGTACTCTATTTCAATTCAGTATTCTCATTATACTTTAAGATAAATTTTGTCTCTAATCTTAAACGGATAACTTTTCAAATGAGAAGTTGAATCTTCGTTTGTTATCTGACAAAAGCTAGAAGAGGCTTAAAAAAATATCAGTGTCTTTAGTTACCTCTAGTTCCAAAGTTCCAGTGTGGGTAAGAACAACATTTTGAAGCCAAAAGGAACAAGTCTCTAACTCTGCTCTAGGTCAAAACCTTGAGTGCTAGAGATGATACTGACCACATAATGCGTGAAAGCACAAATGTCGACACCAGAAACTTGGCACAACAGCTACAAATGCTCTTTGTGTATATTTTTGAGTGGATTCTGTGTAAAGTATGATTATTTCTTAATGTTAAGTATTATGGGTTTCCAGTATATCAGCTACTTATTTCTAATCATAAATATAAAAATACATTTCAAAGTTAAAAAAATGTTTTGGGATTAAGCATATATATTATCCCTTGGTACTATGGATAGTTAAGAATTGACTGTTTTAAACATAAAAGTAAGATTTACAAAAAAAGAATTTCTGGCATTCTCTGATAGTGAATTTCATGACCGTTAAAATAAATTGTCTAATTTGGAGGAAGAATCTATTTCTTTAGAAAGTAATCTGGCTAATCATTATATTGAGAGCAAGAATTTGGTTTTTCTGTGATTAGACATTTTCATTAATACAAAATCTGAGATAGATGAGTAGAAAAAAAGAAGAGATAAAAGGAGACATTTTTTCCATTGGTCGTTGTCACTGTTTTTTATGGTTTTAATGCTTACTAGCTTCCTGGTGATTAGTTCTTCATATTAATATATTTGATATTTGGTTAAATGTTGGCCTGAGGAAGAAACCTCAGTTTATCAAAACAGGTGCCTGGGATCAGGATACTACCTGAAGACAGTTTTGAACTAGATTATATTCTCTGTGGGATTTTCTTATTTCCCAGCTCCCCTTCTACTTCTGCACAATAGCAGAAAATCAATTTACTATGGTTTGTAACTGATAGGACAAGAATATTGGTCAGGTGTGCTACAAGAGAAGAAATGGATTTAAACTGTTTTATGCAAAGAAAAATAGTCATTGTGTAAATATCTGGATATGATGTTGTTCTCTTAAAAGCTGATGTACCGATTAGCTCAGTTGGATAGAGTGCAGTGTTCTAACACAAAGGTCGAGGGTTTGGATCTCCATACTGGCCAGCCACCAAAGAGAAAAAAAAAGCTGATATAAATTCTTAATTATTCTGACCGCTGAGGAAGTCATTTTCTGAAAACAGAGGGAAATAGTGTTTATACTTGTTGCCAAAAGGAGTAGATTGGAGTCCTCCTTACGCTTCCCTCCGCCGATCTGGTGATGGCAGGTCAGGCATGTGGCTCTCACACACCCTCCCTTGTGCCGCCTGACTGAATGTGCTGGCTGCTCTCCAGGCCCCTGCTGTCAGAAGACCTGACAGAAACTCACTTTGTGCCTTTCATATGACAGCGCTGCATGGTAACCACAGGCTCCCTGAGTTGAACCCCTAAAATTGTGGTTTTTTTAAAAGTCTTTATGACAAACTAAGCCAGAATGATTTATTACCTTTGTCCTTTCATAGAATATCATATCAAAGTTTGTGCACTTTCAAAAATGCCTAATATTTTTTCACATAACAATATTTATAACACAGCTTGATAAGAATCGGGAGTGGGAAATGATGTGCAGAGTAAAGCCAGATGTTGTCAAAGACAAAGAAACAGAGAGAAATCTTCAGAGAATTGCAACGAGGTAAGACAGTGTTTTTGCCCTTTAAAAATGACTGTATTAAAGCTTTGATAGTGATCTGTTTTTGGCCAGATTTGATTCCTAAGCTCTGCATTTTCAGAGCCAAGTGATATATATCTAAGTCTGTCTATTCAACACTGAATTCAACCAAAGATTTTGCAGGTCCCATGAGGTAGGAATAGAGTGTGCTAAGTGTGTATTTGGTATGATCCTATTTGAGATCGTCTTGTTTTTATAGTCATAAGAACAAGGTAATCAGACCTCTTACTGCATTTCTTTTATGATCGTTCCCTAAATTTATGGCACTAGATGTTTATTTTTATCTTGCATTATATTTATGACATAATACGTTAAACATTATAGCAGCTTCATGCTGTCCTTTCATTCTGCTTTTTTTTTTCATCATTGGACCAAACATTTATTTGATGCCTTCTGTGTCCATAAATAAATAGGGCATGGTAGTTGCTGTGTGGTCCTTGCCCACTCATCTATAGGAATTGCAGTTTCTTTGAGAATAGAGGTATGCCCTGTATGGTGGGGACATACAAGAGATTGTCTGGGAGAGTTGGGGAAGGTTTCACAGAGGAGAAAACAATTGACCTGCAACTTAAAGAATGTAACAATTATATTTAGTGTAATTCCTTTTAAATTCTTAAATACCTGAAATTTTTTGATCATTTTCTAATCCACCTAGTGTGGTAGGATGATTAAGGGCATGGGTGATAGGGCCAGGCTCCTGGGTTCAAAACCCAGCCCTGACTCTTATTTGTGGTGTGTCTTTGGGCATGCTACTGAATTTCTCTCTGTCTCAGTTTATCTGTAAAAAGAGGATTATAAATCTCTGGGTTTCTCTGGGAATTGAGTGAATTAATACATATAAAGAACTTAGAAAAGTCAGGTCAGCACCTGAAAGTAAGTGCCTCCTTGAATTTGAACCCTAGGCACTTCACTTTCCTCGCCCTGGTCCTGGTTCTGCTGTGAAGAGACTCTCTTTATATGTTAATAAGCTAGCCTGTTAAAGTTTCTTGGATGCTAGTAGGAAGACAAGAGACTTCAGGGTCAGAGACAGAGGACTTTCCTACTCATGGCAAAGGCAGTAGCCAGAGCTTCACATTTCCACTGGTTCCCTTTGTCCCCCAGGGGCAGCACAGGTGCCCTAAATGGATGCCTGCACATGCAGTGGGTTGTGTTGCAGGAGAGGAACGCTGTGCTTGGGAACTATCGCTTTTACAGTGATTGGTAACAAGCCTGCTCTTTGTCTGGGGGGAGACGTTACCTCATCCTTCAAGGTCGCTTACTGCAAACACAACCCTGAGAAAAGGCCTGGGTAAAGAGCAGTCAGAATCTTTCATTCTTGAAGAACCCAGCAAGAATATGGTGAGATGCTCTGGGCCCATGGTGGATTGCCTCTTCCTACAATTATTATAGCAAGAGAATTCATAGATTATAGAATTTTAGAGCTGGAAGGGCTCTTAATGGTCTAAATCAGTGCTGTCTCGTAGAAGTATAATGTGAGCCACATATGTAATTTAAGATTTTCTCATAGCCATATTGCAAAACATAAAATGAAAGAGGTAAAATTAATTTTAATAATATATTTTATGTAACTGAATATATTCAAAATATCATTTCAACATATAATCAGTATAAAACAACTATTAATGAGATTTTAAAGTTCTCCTTTTCATACAGTCTTTGAAATCTGGTGTGTATTTTACATTTACAGCACATAGCATTTTAGACTAGCCACATTTCAGGAGCTCACTAGCCAGTGTGTTTCGTGGCTTCTGTATTGGATGCTGCAGGTCTTAATCTTCAGAATTCATCTTTGAATGAATTTAAATAACTACAGAACAAAGTTTTGTAAATAAATATTTTTAAAGCTATGATTTTAAAATTAGTTTTATATCACTAGAGGTGCAGATAATATGAGTAGAGTTGGATACCTTTTAAGCTACTCAGGTATTATTTGTCCCATTTACAGATGAAATCCAGAAAATCTTTCCTAGAGTCAAATGCTTACGCAGCTAACCATCAAAGCCATGTTCTTTCCATTACACTGTAATGTCTTCAACCATTATATTACTATATTTTGTGAAATAGATGTTGTGTTAAAAGTAATTCTCAGATGTAATTGCACAGCTGATTTAGAAAGACCAAAGCTGTAAAAAAAACGCACACACCAATCCACATATATTTATTGTCTTCAGAAATTTATGTTCGTTCATCGAAATGTATGTTTTTCAGATGTATTGAGCCATTCATTCAACTCATTGATTTGAGTGCTTGTGAATGCTTGCCTCTTTTCTAGGCAGTGAAAATACATTGTTCCTATCTCATAGAGTTTGTATTCTATCGTAATTTTTATTTAACTATATTATTCTGGTAATTTTATATCCTGTAGGGGTGTGGTACAATTATTTAACGCTGTTCAGAAGCATCAAAAGAACGTTGATGACAAGGTTAAAGAAGCTGGGGGCTCTATCAGAAAGCATGCTAAGTTGATGTCAACTGTTTCCAAGAAAGATTTCATCAGTGTGCTGAGAGGAATGGATAGAAGTACAAATGAGAAAAGTTCAACTGGGAAGAACCCAAAAGCCAAACAGGTAAGACTTTTATATAGCATTCAGTGCATCAGACTTTTTGTCTCTTAAACTAGAGTTTGAGATGGAAAAAGCACATTACAGAATTATAATTTTTTTCAGATTTTATTAAAACTCCTACTTGCCCACAACCTAATTTAAAAGTTTGAATTCTTTAGTTTTATGAGGATTTACTCAGTATGGAATTTGACAATTATAGGCATCTTACCCCTGCTCTTAGAACTCAGGAACCAAATAGGTTCAGGTCAATTTTTTAGAGGTAGGGCTTGTATCTCTCCTATCTGAAAGGCTACAGTTTGTGCAGTTTGGAGAATAGAAGCCTAAGAGAAGGCTACAGCTTTAGTTTGAAACTTTTACCTACAGAGGTAATTGTGATGGTGTGTAACTCCTAAACTATGAAGAGTCTGAGCTTTAGGAAATAATGGTGGAACGTCATCCTTGCTCTCAGCCAGCGTTGATGATGTTTGGCTGGTTGGGAGATTAAGAAGAAATCCTTTTCATGATCTTTGGTGTGGTAACTTTGCCCTTTTGACCTGTGGACCTCAATAGTTTCCTTTTAACCAGGTGAAAGGTTCTGAAATATGCTTTAATCTCATAAGGGCTGGTCTTTAAAAAGAAATTAAAGGAAAGTACATAGTTGTCTTTGCTGGCTTGATTTCTGTTGCCAACAAAAAGTACTTTAATCAGTCAGGAGGTGAGAGTTTCTGTATTGTTTGTGTTTTGGGGAAACAGTTGAAACCCTGGCAAAAAAAGCATTTAGGAATTTCATGCTAGCCTAAAGTTGAAATGTTTTTCAAATTCCTTGATTAAGTGGCCATTTTACCTAATTTTAGTGAGTTTTCTAATCCATTTAAGTTTGTCTCTCTTGAATATCAAAGGACCCAAATTATATATTATGTAATAATGGTTTTCACTAGTGCTGCTATTTTAAAGTATCTTTCAGAAGTAATTACAAATACATGAACACTATGTTTGAGGATTTATACTTGTTAGTTGGCTGTATTCTTGCTGGTAACATTATACTCTAAGAATTGGAAAAAGATTCAGCAGCATTAGAGGGGACAGAACTAGTGAGAAGGTGGAAAATAAAGACTTATTTATTTCTTTTTCCTGTTGGTTTTAAAATAACTTTACATAGAAACGTTTAATTTTCTTTTGGGGTTATTTCTTTCATGAGTTAGAAAAATGCACAAAGGGTTCTTTACAATGGCATTACCACATTTTCTCTGTTACCATTTTGCACTTGCCCTTGACTTTCTTTTTTTCTACTTCAGTTATCACAGGCATGTTATTAATCTGGGACAAGGTCAAAAATTGCTTGTGATTCAGGCCAGAGTAGCTTTGCTCTTAAAGTAATTTGTTTCCAGAACACTGACTCCACTCCACCAACACCATGGCACATTTCTTTCTTTTAAAAATGTTTGGTTTTATTTTGATTTTATATTTATGGAAAAGCAAACAGATTCCTTTTTAAAAAATTATACTTGAGTTTGCATTTGGTAACTATAAAAGCACTATATTCTTTGTGATTGGATCAGTTACTGATATAAAAAATATTAATTGCCTATTTGACCAGATACTATCCTTGTGTCTTTTAAAGTCTTATACTTGAGATAGGCAAATGACTTCAAGTAAATAAATAAACAAGATTAACTTGACAACATGCAGATTCCAGATTAGTATGTCTAGACTACATGCTGGCGTCAGTTACACCAGGTACAAGTAAATATAAATTAAGTGGCTAAATCTTTTTGTGGAGGGAATTTTATATTAGCTGTGGTGATATTCATTTAGGTCATAGAAATCTATGTATGTTATTCGAAAAAGGTGGACTTTTAAGGTAGTTGAAGGTAAGGATGGGAGGCAAAGGTGGGAATAGATTTGGTGTGCCAAAGTGCTATTTAGAAATGAGTCATAGATTAACGAACTGGATAAAGGAAGATATTAAGTAAGTAGAGAATAACACTGCCCTTTTTTCTCCTATTTTACCTTGTCCTAGCACCATAGCACACACAGTGTGACTAAAGAACTCTATGAAGTTGCTCATTGTCCTTTTCCCTGGGCTGTGATGATACTCAGAACAGAGGCTTTTTATACAGTACTCCTAATGTGAAATCTCTAAAATTGGAATCCACCCACATGTAAGCTGGATTCACTGGCAGCCATCTCTCATGATACCAATGTGGAAACATCTTCATTGTGATGACTTCAACTCTTTTTCCCAGAGGTCTAGTGCTACTCTGATTTCTGATTCTTTATTCTTTGGAAGCTTTTAGGATCTTGTCTTTATCCGTGTTGTTCTAAAATTTTGCAGTAAAATGCCCTGGGGTGGCTTTTTTTCATTCCTTGTACTGGACACTGGTAGGCTCTATCATCACTCTAGAAATAAGTCAATATTTCTCACTTTTAAACAGGTTATTTTGTTTGGTTGGTTTAATGCCTGATTATTTTTGCCCCTTTCTTTTCTTTTTCTCTTTCTAGAATTCCTGTTAATTTGTTTTTGGGTCTTCTGACTTCATCCTCCAATTTAACTTTTTTCCTTCAATTTTCTATCTCTCTGACCCTCTTCTGGAGAAATTCTTTGATTTCCAGCCGTCACGTTGAATTGGGAAAAAAAATCCTATTTCATATGTTTATATTTTGAAGACTTTTTTTTTTCTTTAATAGTGCCTTTCTTGGAGTCCTATTTTTATTTCATGGGTATGGTATCTATTCTCTCTTTGAGGAAGTAATTATATATGTTTATTTTAATCTCAGTATTTCCAGTTGGAGGTCTTCCTCAAGTGAGTGGTGATCTTCACTGTCTATTCATATTTAAGTCTAAAGTACTAAAGAGTTGATTGAAAGTTTGAATGTGAGCCCAGAGTTTGCTTGTCAGTGAGCCCAGCTATAGGATAATCGAGTAAAGTTGGTGCTTTCATTGGGGGATGCCCAAATGTCAGTTTTTATAGGTCTTTCTTCGGGAACCCTCTGTCTTTTCTGAAGAAGAATCGTATAGTCTCTTACCCGTGGAGTAAAATACTTGCTGATGACATTCCTGGTGTAGCAGAATGTAGGAATGGTCTTTAGGGCTCCAGCATTCATTATGTAGACTGACTCAATAAAAGCCCTTTGCCCTAGCTAGTGTTCCAGAGTTCAAGAACCCTGATGTAATATCTTCAGAGACCTAACTACCTGTCCATGTCAGGGTAACATAGTCATTCACCTGCCTCCGTAAGCTGTGGAGGGGACCTGAGGTCTAACTGCTTTTTATACAGACTATCAGCCAATCTTCTGCTTTTATCACACCCTTCGCCACCATCCCACGCTTCCCCCTATTCCCCCTTCTAAGTTATGTCTAGTTCCTGACATGGGTCCACTTGTTTCTCACTTAGACATCAGCCTTTCTTCTCTTATAATTGGTTACCACTATGCTATCCAGTTCTTATCCCCTCCCAAATTTGTTGGCATTATTGGTCTTCTGTTGTTTTCTCTTTTGTATTGTTTTCTTGTTTGTTTATACCTTTCGTACCCCTATTTTAATTTTGTTGAGCTTTCTGTAAGAAGTGGAGATAAATGCATGTCTGATGTTTAACTGGAAGATCTCTGTTTTACTTTAAAAGCAGAAATGTTACGCTTATTGTAGTTTCATATTGCTTTAATAGAATTATTGGTAGACTTGAATTGACTATAAAATATTTCACAAACAGTAAACCTTTAAATATTTGATAATGGACTATTTTTTATGCTTTGAAGTGTTATTTAAAAAATACTTGTATTACACACATACTTTAAAAAATTTTAGCCTTATAAAGAGGATTTTTTTTTGTTTTTGTTTTTTCCTTTTTTTCTTTTTTCGTATCCGGCAACGGATCGCAACCCTCAGTGTCGCGCCCCGACCGGACTGGACTGGACCGGCAACGGGATCACAACCCTCAGCGGGAGCGCCGCCACGCTCCCAAGCCACGCACTGTAGCAGTGCGCCACCAGGCCGGCCCTAAAGAGGGTGTTTTATAAAATGTTTTATAAAAAGTAGATGTAGACATGTCCTGTATTTCTGTGGATTTGCATCTTTGGAAACAACCTCTGTGATTATCTTTATTCCTTGGTGGGTCTTTAGATATTTAGATGCATGTGTACATGCATGTGTATATTTAGCATTGTTTCCTAGAAAAGAATGAAAAGAGAATGTATGCTTTTATAATTTCTAATATGTTGATTTTTGTTTTTTAATCTGATAGATGCCCAGAATTACTCAGATTCATTTTTCACAAGTCTCCTATTTATGATTTATGAGTCTGTTTTACAGCTTTCACCAAAACTGATAATATAAAAAGTAGAACATGTTTAAGATTTAGGGACTTTGGAGGAAATGTCTGCTCCAGGTTGTAATCAGAAATGACAAGGATGACAATGAAGATCCAGTTCAAAGCAGCAGTGTAGGAAGAAGCACTTGGCTCGTGCCAGAAACAGCATGACCAAAAAGGAGATGACCGGAATAATCAAGTATGGTGAGGCCACTTGTGGCAGGAGCTGAGTTGTCCTGTGTGTCTCACTAGGGTCCCTGAATTTTTAAAAACAGTTAACCTGTTTGCCAAGTTAGGGAAGATGAGTAGAGTACTGTAGAGAGTTTTTCTCATGATTAAATTGTAAAGTTTCTAGTTTTAAAGTATTAATATTTAGTTATTTGTGGGGGGGGATTTCCTAATCCAGAACCTGTTATTCCTCCCTTGGACCAATTAAGTAAAAGCATCATACCAACTACTGTACCTATCAGTATGTAAGAAGGCACACTGACTGATATCTTGATGTTTATTCTGAATAATTTTTTAAAAGTAATAAATTTTATTTAGGACATTGTCTATGGAAGCAACAAAAACACATTTTGTTTAAGAAAGGTTTTCATAAAAAATTTAAGCTTTAACTTTTAAAGGAGTGATAACTTTGTTTCCCCATTCAGAACATGTACCTATCTAGAGTGATTTGTTTTCCCAGTATGTTAAAATAATCAAGATTTTATTAATGTAGAGGCATTGATTTTTTTCCCTTAGCTTTCAAGGTTATAATTACTCTTTTTGCTCTCTTCTTGAAAAGCTGACTAAAATCCAGGCAGATTTCTTGGAATTTAATTCTGTTTCCCTAAAGGCAGGACAGAAGCAAATGTGATGCATTTTAAATCTGTGAGTCTCAAAGGAGAATGTATTGGCTGCTGTTAGGAAAGCATATTGGCTATATGTTACTTGTACTCTTGAATTACAGACTTTAGGAATTTAATTCTGTTTCCCTAAAGGCAGGACAGAAGCAAATGTGATGCATTTTAAATCTGTAAGTCTCAAAGGAGAATGTATTGGCTGCTGTTAGGAAAGCATATTGGCTATATGTTACTTGTACTCTTGAATTACAGACTTTATGCAGGTTTTCATGTATTTGAAATTGCCAATATATAAATTTCAGATTTTGTTTTGTTATAATTAAACCACAATAATAATTTTGTAGGAAGAGAAATGCTAGCTAGTTTCTGTTAGAAATTAATTTCCTTAGTGATGGCAGGACAACAAATTTCAGTAGAAGTCCCAGGAAAAAAAGTTACTGGAAGAGCCTAAATTTTGTAGGAAGAGAAATGCTAGCTAGTTTCTGTTAGAAATTAATTTCCTTAGTGATGGCCGGACAACAAATTTCAGTAGAAGTCCCAGGAAAAAAAGTTACTGGAAGAGCCTAGGTATTTATTTTTTTCTGATTTTGTGATATGAGCACTTTAAACTAAATGTCAAGCAGAGAGAGAAGTTAGGGTGCTCTGTTTCTCATACATTTCTCAAAAATGGCAACCTGGTAATTTCTTTACAACTAGGTACTTAGTGGGTGGGAATGCTTTGGAAACACCTGGCTTCTTTGGTATCTTATAACTTAGACCCAGACTCCAAATTGCCATGTACTTTTAAAACTGTGAAATCTTTCTGATTCTTAGACCTACTGAGGTCTTACTGCCAAAGAAGGAAGCCTAGGACATTGTCACACAGGTCCCTGGATGGTCCCCAGCGGTTTTTAGGACTTTGTTTTTAAATTGGTTGGGAATGTGGAAGACAGGCAAGGGGTTAGAGAAAGATTATTGCCCTTAAATTGCCCCTGTGTTGCAGGGCAACAGTGTTTTACTCTCACATAAAAGCTGCTCTTGCAGGAATGTGTGGAATCCTAACTTTGTAAATAATTCAGCTTATTGTTTGCTTATTGAAAATGCCTAAATAGATTAGAGTTTAGACAAAAACGAGACTCCAAGTTTAAAATGGGAATGAGCAGGATTGTAGTTGATGGGAACAGTTTATAGCCAGTTTCTCATTGTACTGACTTATTTTAAAATATACTGTTTAGTTTTAATGTAGCATAGTTTCTGATTTAAACAGAAGTTGTAATCAAAGTGAACTTATGTTTGGTAATATGGTACATACAGTATTTTGACATAAGGGAAATATGGATGTAAGTGAAGAATAAGAACTAGTTATTATAGAGCTGTTGTAGAGATTTTTAATTACTGTTAAATTAAAATTAATAATGTTGTCATACATCTTTTGACCCTATATGAAGAAATGTTCTCACTATTTGTAGCTGCTGAAGTGGCTGCTTGTATAGGATTTTCATTAGTGAGGTTGAGGCTTTTTAAAAAAAAATTATCCTGTGCAAGGGAGTCTTGTACCACATTTGCATCTATAGTTCATTTTTTAAAATCAGAAGAATATTTTATTGTTTCATGCTAAAAATCATTATTTTTGAGTAGTACATAGTTGAGACCATTTACTGGGATGTATTATGCATAGTGGCTCAGGCCACAGATTCTAACCCGTCTGCTAGATTCAAAACACCATATAACAATACCTACCTTATGGGTATGTTGTCCAGTGAGTTAATATACATAAAGTGCTTAGAATGATGCTTGTTACATAGTTATAGTAAGCACTATATATGAGAGTACTTCAAAAAGTTCACGGAAAGATTCATATTATCTTTTCGTCATATTTTTCCATGAACTTTTCGAAGTACCCTCGTAAATATTTGCAATTTATTTTTATTTTGTGTTATATGTCATTAGAATGAGTTTCTTATACTTAATGCTTATTTTTTCCTAACAAATAGTAGTCAAAGATGAATTCTAATGTTGGAAACAAATTTGAAAGGAAACTGTTACTACTAACTTTTTTTTGCTTTTCGTATTGTTTTTAATTGATTTATGGCTTACTGTGATGCTTTGATATATGTATACAATGTGCAGTGATCAAATCAGGCAATTAGCATATCCATCACCTCAAACATTGATCATTTCTTTTTGTTGGGAACATTCAAAAATCCTCTCTTCTAGCTATTTGAAAATATACAATAAATTGTTAATTGTAGTCACCCTACAGTGATCTGTTGAGAACACTAGAACTTATTTCTCATATCTAGCTGCAATTTTGTGTCTGTTGACCAACTTCTCACTATCTCACTCCCCCCCCCCATGGAATCTGCTCATATCTGAATTGTTG